ACGAAAAGTACTATATGGTTCCAAACGGCACTACATTTGGTACAATTAAGATTTGGGTGAACGGAGAGAGCTGGAGACCTAAAATTTGGAATAATGGTTGCTGTTGGAACTTATGTGTATAGTACCATTAGTACTTATGTGTACTAATGGTACTATATTTGGTACAACTTGATTATTTGAGAACGGATAGAGCTGGACTCCAGAATTTTGGAATTAAAATTCCTGTTTGAGTGTAGGGTTGAGGTAGTTTAGGAAATTCTTAATTACAGAAACAAAAAGTACTAAATGGTACCAAATAGTTTGCAAATTGTTTTACGTGAACGGGTAGGGCTGGGATTCTGAAATGTTGAATTAGTATTACAGTTAGAGTGCAGGATTGAAATAAGTCGGTAGTTTGGAAAATTTGTCATTATGTGTACTAAATGGTACAAAATTTGGTACAATTTGCATTAGAGTTAACGGATAGAAATGCAAAACTTAAGCTTGGAAGGAATTTTAAGAATTAAGGTAGTTTTGGAATTTCGTATTTATGGACAATTAATGGTAATAAGTATTATACAATTCGTTGTCTGGGAGCGGGAATCCTAAAATTTGAAATTAAAATTAAAATTGGAGTGTAGAAAGGGACATGGAGGTAGTTTTAAAAATGCGTAATTATTTGTATTAAATGGTACTAAGTTTAGTATAACTTAGATTTAAGGGAAAGGATAGAGATGGAGAACAATAAAATTACTCTTACTGTTATTACGGGGTTTGAGGCTACCCCTTTTCAAAATCCCCGACAAATGTTGAAATTTTGTGGGTATCGTTATTTGAAAAAAAAATCTAGTAGTAGATTTTCAAAATCCTCCCTAGATGCCATTCTTTATACCCTCCACCATAGTATTGAAATATTCATTTCCGACCCTATAAAGTATATATATTCTTGATCAGGGTAAAATTCTAAGACGATCTAGCCATGTCCCTTCGTCTGTCCGTCCGTCTGTTGTAATCACGCTATCTTCTGAAGGAATTGAGATAGGGTGCTGAAATTTTGCGTAGGGTTGTCTTTTGTCTGCAGGCTGGTCGGCACCTCCTAATTTTCAGTATTTTGGGGGTTTTGATTGAATTTTTCTACCGGATTGGCTGTAATTTAGTATTTTGTGTTCTTAAAGAGGTACACAAAAATTATGAATATAGGTCCATTTTTTCGGGTAGCCCCCATATAAGGGTATCCCCAATATTCGATATTTTGGGGTTCTTGAGCGCGTTTTCGCCGAATTCGCTGCAATTTGGTATTTTGTAGTCGTATATGGTAACAAATCTCCCTACAAACAATTATTTATATTCGACCCCTTCTTGGGGTAGTCCCCATATAACCCCCATTTTATACCCTTCACCACACTGTGGTACATGGTATTATGTCTTTGTGCATATGTTTGTAACAGGCAAAAGGAATCGAGATAGACCTATGGTTCCTTTTGAGAATATGCATAGAATCACTTTCTGAGTCGATTTATGCATGTCCGTCCGTCTGTCAGTCCGTCCGTTCGTTCGTCTGTTGATGTTAAATTGTAAACAAAGTACAGGTCGCATTTATAATCCGATTTGGCTGAAATTTGGTACAGCTCATTTATTTGGCCCAAGGACGAAATTGGGAAAAATCGGTTCAGGTTTAGATATAGCTCACATATATATTCTTGTCCGATTTACGGACTTTAGACCCTGCAAATCATTCGATTTGCACGAATTTTTGCATAGCGTACGGAATTAAGTCTAGAATGATGTGTGCTAAGTTTCGTGAAAATCGGTTCAGATTTAGATATAGCTCCCATATATTGTTTCGCCCGATTTTAGGTAAATGGTGCACTAAAGATCCATAGCTAGGCCGATTGACACAACGTACTGAAGTTAATATAAATTAATCTCTGATAATTTTCATTGAAATCGGTTCAGATATAGATATAGCATAGCTTCTATATATAATCTCGATTTATTCATGTTAATTGTACACCAAATAATCAATGAGTTTCTGATTGAGATGAAACCATAAACAGTGCAGCATACTGAATAGCGTGTGTCAAGTTTGCTTTAAATCGGTTTACAAAATTTAGCATATGTTGCAGAATGACATGTGTAGGGATTGATGTTAGTCGGTTCAGATATAGATAAAGATCACATATTGAATATACCCAAAGTGGTGAAGGGTATCATATAGTCGGCCCTGTCCGACTTTACTACTTTCCTTACTGGTTTATATTAAAATAGTTATCTAATTTGTTCCGCGTTTTGGGTTTGGTTCTAAGAGTCTGTCGTAATCATTTAACCTGCGGAGGATATCGAGATAAAGCTAGAACGTAAGGTTCGATAATGAACTATACATGAACTATAACCCTCATTTAGGCCTAGCCCCTGTATGGGAGGTATCAGAAGGAGTGTACCTATAGTCCACATCTTCGAACCTGAACTAAGTTTGAAAGAAATAATAAGATAGGCACAGGTTGGATGAAATCAAAATTTTCTGGAACATGGTGGTTTACATAATCGCGTTGTAGAAATGTCGGTATAGGTCTTCTTTTTGGTATTTTCTCTACATTTTTATTTCAGGTACCTGTCAGCAGCAACGTATACAGGATTTCATTTCGGGGGGGCCTGTAGTACAAAATGAAAAAAATCGCTGTTGCAAACATAAATTTACTGTGAAAAAATTCATTTCGTGGGGGGATGGCCGGCACCCCCGGACCGCCCCCCTGCTTACGTCCCTGCCTGTCAGTATATCTATGGTGGAGGGTATCCAAAGTTCGGCCCGGCCGAACTTAACGCTTTTTCACTTGTTTATCATTAACGAAATTTTGCAATGCAAGAAAATATGATAATCGCTTGGTGGCAAGTCCGGACTGTATGGCGGATGCATTAATATTTCCCAACCAAGCTCCCGAAATTTCTGGCGACTCACTGTAGATGTGTGTGACCAAGCGTTGTCCTGGTGGAACACGACACCTCTCCTGTTGCCCAATTCTGGTCAATTGCAAATGGTTTAAAACAGTTTTATGGTCGATTTGTATCTCCTGGGCGATGTTACGACTGCTAACATGCCTGTCAACTTCGAACATATCTACGATTTTTACCTGAGCGAGGGGCATCTTTAACATCAAAAATTCCTGAACGGAATCTATGAAACCAACATTGCATAAGAAAGAAGATGAAAAACTCTAAAAGGAACCGAATTTTCTCTTTGTTCACTTCGATTTTTAACACCCTGTAACTCATAGCTGTATGCACCAAACAGAAAACAGCAAAATATTTTTTTCTTTTTCCCCAATATTTATATATAAGTTATGGGTCGATTTTAACACCCTGTAACTCATAACTGAATGAACCAAACAAAAAACAGCAATTTTTTTCTTTTTTCCCCAATATATATATATATATATTTAAGTTATGGGTCAATCGTTGAATATTTCGATATGCTCGCAAATGGAATAAAAAAGTATATACACTTAACTTTATGTTGTGGTATTAAATATTATAACAAAAATTTATTTTAAATTAACACCAACAATATTATAAAAATAATTTCCATTTCCAATAATGCCTCAACTTTTTGAATTCCTTCAGAGTTAACTTTAATTGGAAACCCCTCAAAGGTATCAAACCGGTCATCATCATCTAACAAATATGATGATTTATAAATAGGAGATTTCGGTTTTTGGTAGTTGTTAATTGTTCGATTTATGTATCGTGTACCATCGGCAGAGGTCAACTGTTCAAACATTTCGAGCTGAAAAAAATAAAGTTATATATTTATAGGATATGCTGTTTTTTTTTTAAATAACTCTATAGAGTCTTACTGTGTCCGAACAAATGAGTATGTGTTTAAAAAACTCCATCCATATAACGTCAGCGCTGCAATCACCCGACCCTTTAGATGCGAACAAAACATTACACTGAGAGAAATTTCTGCATCAATATAATGAATTTCTGCATTGGCCCAATGAAATGTTTCATTAAAAAAAGACCAAAGAAACATTTCATTGGATGAATGATTCGAAAACATTTATTTAATGAAACGTTTCCATCATTGGATGGATGAAATATTGCATTAGATTAATGACAACCATTCATAGATGTATTGAAACAAGTTCATAGAATATATGAAATATCTTCACATATTTAATGTATAGTTGCATTCGTCGAATGAATCATATTCACACATATATTGAAAAAGTTTCATTGGACTAACGACAAAGTCATTAACCCAATGAAACATGTTCATTGATGTAATGAAATAAATTCATTGATTTAATGAAGCTTTCATTTATTCTATGAAACATAATCGTTAATTCAATGCAACATCTTCATAGATATAATGAAATTTATTCATGAATAGAATAAAATGTCTTCATAAATCCAATGAAATGTGTTCATAGATTGAATGAAACATATTCATACAGCAAATGAAACATTAATACAACAAATGAAACCCCTTCATATGCTAAATGAATGATGTACATTTAAATAATGAAAGGGTTTCTTTGATTTTATGAAATTGTTAATTTTTTATGAACGGGTTTCATTTGTTGTGTGAATATGTTCAGGCATTATTTACCATTTAGACAAGAATATATTCACATACTTATTTTTTTATTTTTCTTTATTTTGTAAAAACGTATCTTTGTTAATTCATTTACAAACAAAAGAGGTCTTAGATATCTATGTTAAACTCAAAAGTAATAAATTCATATTGTGACTTGTTTTGCAAGCGGTTTTTAAAAATTAATTTTGTAAATATTATTTAATCAGTGTTACAAAAGTTCATGTTTCTTCTTACATATCATATTTTGTAAACAATTCTACTTAGTTATAATTCATTTTTCAGTCCATTTTGATTTGTTTTTAACAGTAATATATTTAATATATTTTTAGCATACAAGTTCTTATAAAATACTATAACTTTTTTTACTTATATAGTCTATAAGTCTTTATTTGTAATTACTTGAGGTAATTCAAATGCACAGTCAGTTTTTAATCTGCGGAATTTAGGAACGTTTGTTATTTGCATAAATCTAATTTTCGAACTTATTTTTAATTGATATGAAGATATCAATATAAAAATAGCTTAATTATTATTTAATTTAGTGTTTTAAATATCTGAGAATTTATAACTTATTAAATTGAAACCAATTACTCAGATTGTTTCTCTAAATCATCCAAGAGGATGCTTACCTTTGACTTTTTCTTTGAGCATGAACTTATTTCAAAAAAGTAGTTTTCCAAAAAGATCCAAAATGTTTCAGATGCTGTGGGATATTGTAAATTAAATAAATGGAACATTTTAAAACAAATATCCAAAGAGCGAAGAAAATTAGGAAACCGTATGAGGTCACCATCAAAATAAACAAAAATTTCATGTATATCGTCCAGACTTCCGATTCCCAATATAAAAGGCTGAATATGTTCTTTCATCTTTAACAAAAAATCAATATGGTCGTGTAATTCTTGCAAAGTCTTTCCCAAAAACAAAAACGTCTTCTGGGAGTCCTTTATTGTATAGCGAGATATTTCTTTCTTTCCGAGAATTGTTTTTCGAACTTGCCGCCCAGTCGGGAAAAGAACATAATGTAAAATCCACAGGGTTTTCACTGCAAATGTGCCTCGATCTGCAAATAATAACGTTAAATTAGGTTTGATCGATTTGTTGAGCTTGACTTGAAGACTCTTACCCTTTTCCAAATCTTCGTCCTGGAGAGTTTCTAACATTTTTGACTCACCATGACATTTAAGTTGCTTAGATTTTTTCAAAAAGTTAAACAACTTTAGAATTTTTTGGTCCCAGTTGAGCATTTTGTTGTGCGATTTATGCATTATTGAGAAGTCAATATCAATCTGAATTTAAAACAGTTTTTGTAGAATTACGCTAAAATTATCAAATGTTTACAATTTGATATATATATATACTCACCAACTTATAATGTGATTTATATTCAGGCCACTTTTTAAGAATCTCTCGTAGGCTACTGCATTCGTTAAGTACTTGATTAAGTCTATAGTTGGCACAAGAAATCCACTTTGTTTCAAACTCTTCAGCTGAAAGCTTGTCATATTTAAGAACTTGCACCAAATCCTCTCCATTCTCCTCAGGTACTGAAAATACAAATTAATTAAAAACCATTACTAAACCACAAATTCCACATTTCCTACCAAAAGTAATTTTAGCCTTTTTTGACGCCGTAGGTGATTCGTTTTCCAGCATAAAAATCTGCTTGCTTTGTTTTTTAAGATTTTGGGATTTTACATAAATTTTTCCTCTACGTTCTGTTCGATAGAATTCAAGTTTTTCAGTCGGAAATAGAGACAATATTTGCGTTTCGAGTTTGTAGCTTGCTTGAAGAGTCATTGGTGCGTCTTTTCTTGCAAAATGCTGGGCAGCAATGTTTATAATGAAAACTCTTAGTTCATCTGTGAGAAACTTGTTTTTTTCGTAAAACTGTAGCACACGTTCCCCATTTTTATTACTTTGCAATATCTCCAACATATTGACGTTATCGACTTCTTCCGTATCAGATGAGTTACACGAATCGGCTTTTTTGGGAAAAACTGGAGGACTTGAACATTCTGCCCAAAATGGATGGTTAATATCATGTCTCCACTTTGTGAAATGGTGAATGAACTGGGCCTTGTCTCCAATTCTCCAATTCTGTGTCAGCTCTTTAACATGTTCCTCAGTTAGTATTTTCAAAATATCAATAGAAATATGTTCACCTATAAGAAGTTAACGTTATTATAGCACAAAAAACTAATTATATAGGTTCAGCATATAAGTTAAATCTTACGTATGAGTATGTCCAATTTGTCTTCTATACCCCATGATATAAGTAAGTTTTTCAAGGCATCTTCTTCCCCACAGCTCAAAGTCTCCGAGTTTGTTTCAGACATTTTTAAACTAAAAATAAATTGTTTAGCATGGAAAAAGGTATTTTTAAATTGTTTCTTTGAAACGAAGCATAAATTTTCCCTTAGCGGTATTAATCAATGTGGCCGGTGGTCCAATTAATTCGTCAAGCTTCAAAACGGAATATTCTCCTTTATCATTTGGAATAATTTCAAATGCAGTGTAGTGTTTCAAATACGTACTGTTTAGAACTTGTTGACAAACCAAATAAACTGTGAGTTGTGAAACAACGATGTTGACAATTTTGTATACATCATCTTTTTTTGTTGCTACAAAATACGAACTTTTGTATGTGATATTTTTATAAACAACTTTTTCAAAAGTCTTTATAGTATTTTTTGCAACTTTTAATTTGAGGCTTATAACGTCCAGCAAATAATCTTGACACTCGCTGATATTCGAGCAAATAATGTCCGGAATCTCAGTTTTTTCTAACAAAAAATCTGCAAACACAAATTGATATTTTTTTGCCATGGAAACAGAAATATTTTTTCTAGACGTGATTGCGTGAGCATACAATTTAAAGCTCCTATGTTTTGCCTCATACGGAAAACACCAAAAATTTCGTACTGGGCCGCAAGCCCTTATAACTTCAGGATAATGCGTCAGTATATGAAACTTAGGTTTAAGTTTATCATTAAATAACTTGAGATATATTTTATTATGTCTTTTTATATTACTTTCCAAAGAATTTATCATGAAGGCGTCCACCCGAAAAGACAATATAGTATCTACTATTTCAATTAATGTTAGTACGAGCTGCCAAACTTCATCGTCA